TGTTCCGTAAGCCGCAAACAAGATGAGGAAGAAAGATGCGGGGGCGCTCGTGAGCCATGTGGTCCATCATGGCGGTGGGTCCGCAACAAAAATCCTGCCTAAGCAATCCCTGTCTAAGCAAGCTAAGGATCGCTCAAAAGACGGCAATTCATTTGGAGAAGTTTGCCAGGGTCCCTCCAGTGCACTCTATGCCTCTGAATATGGACGATAGCGCCTTGAGCTCAGTGGAGGGCTCGTGTAAGGAAGGACTGCAATATCTGGACGGAGATGTGGCAGTGCGGGAAGTGGATGGCGGATCCGTGAGCACTACACCTACGGTTACTGTGCTTTCATCTTTACCACCTCTTCATCCCCCTGTTGCTGAACCTACACTGGCTGATATATACTCTGCTGTGCAGCTCTGCAACTCTTCTCTGGCTTCTTTCTCCACCCAGTTTCAATGTATGCAGGCAGACATATTGTTTCCCTCGCCACCATTTGAAGAAAATGCAGGATTGATCCTCCACTCTGGAGAGCAGGTTTTGTGATATGGAGGATATTATTTCTCCTGTAACAGCAGATCTTAAGCTGGTAACGCAACGTTCGGCCACCAATTCCTCGTACTTGGAGGATTTAGAGAATCAACTACGCCGAAACAATAAGAGTGGTCGGCCGGCTGGAAAGAGTGGAAGGATCTAACCCACCTGACTTTGCTGAACGCTTGCTGCTAGAAATGTTCTGTCTTCTATGTTTGCTATAGAGAGAGTACATCGTGTGCCAACTTGTTCTGCTGTACCAGGTGGCTTCCCTAGGCCTTTACTGCAGAGGGTGCTTAATTACAGGGACAGAGAGACTATCCTTCGGAAAGCCAGAGATTTGGGAGAGATTATGTTTGATGGAGTAAAGATCATGCTCTTCCCAGACTTCTCTCAAGAGGTTCAGCTGAGGAGAGAGAAAATTGCAGTACTGTATGGTATATCCAGCCAAGCTGCGAGTGGCGGCAGGTGGCAGCAATGTTTTTTCTTATTCTTCTGCCGCTGCATTGACATGGCTGGCCGGGAGGCCCTGTAGTAACAATAATATGTAATTGTTATTATTATGATGTTTTTCTTTCTTTTTTTTCTTCCTGGAGGTGGGTGCCCCTTCTTCTCTGGTGATTAGGCGCCCCTGCTTATTGTCAGCCGGGGGAGATTACGTTTTTTTTTTGTTCTGTTATTTCTATTTTTTTTCCTATACTGCCAGTGGGATGATTGTATACACTTGAATGTTAACGTGTTTGTGACAATAATTCTGTATTCTCTTTGTTATCAACTGATATGAGTATGCTGAAATTGTCTGTATTATCTTGGAATGTACTTTAGGTGGATTGGGTGATGGAGTTAAGAGACAAGCGGTCTTTTAAAAAAAGGCCCGAAAACCCGCTGATCAGCGCATTTCCATTCAAATCTATATGGAATCAGTGCAGATCAGTGCGGGGGAAAAAAGGCTAAGGGAGCATTACAGGCGGCAGGTGGTTCGAATCACGCAGAGCCGTGCGATCGCATGAACAGTCCCCATAGGAATGTATGGGATCATGATGTCGGCGGTTCAGTACTGACAAATCCGCGCGACCTAACCGCCCTGGTGTGAATGGGGCCTTATTGTCATATCTCCTTTTTAATGTTGATGTAAAAATTCTGGCCAAAGTTTTGGTTGTGAGATTGGCGAAAGTTGTTCATCACCTTATCCATCCAGATCAAGCGGGCTTTATGCCAAATAAATCTACAGCAGGGAATATAGGGAGATTTTTCCTTAATATGCTGGTTCCGATAGAGAATTCTGGCAGCAGGACATTATTGGCCTTGGATATGGTCAAGGCGTTCGACAGTGTTGAGTGGGTCTATCATTGGGAGGTCCTTTCCCTTTTTGGCTGTGGGGCAGAGTTTACTACTTGGATTCAATTGTTGTATTCTAACCCGGTTGCGAGGATTAGATTTAATGGTACACTCTCACCCACTCTTGCCTTACAGAGGTGTACGAGGCAGGGGTGTCCGCTATCCCCCCTCCCTTTTGCTCTAGCAATTGAGCCTCTGGCGGTATTAATGAGGTCTACCTCTGTGGCGGCGGGCTTTAAGAGGGGAAATGCCGAGGATAAAATTGCTATATACGCAGACGATTCATTGTTAATTTTTGCGGACACCTCTTCCTCTCTTCTGATGGTGATGGCTTTGGTATCTGAATTTGGTAGATTCTTGGATCTTAGAGTTAACTGGGACAAGTCTACTCTTCTCCCCATAGATCCCCTTGTAGCCCCGCTTCCTAATGCTGCCTCTCATATTCTAGTGGTGGATTGCTTTACTTACCTGGGAATGTTTTGGATGTCCTAAAAAATCTATTTGGTGGTTCTGACCACTTCCAATTGCTGGAGACGGTTTGTTATATTAGGGCCCCTGAATCTGTGCCCATGGTTAGACTCATGGGCAAGGTATGGGACTCTGTAAAATGGCTTTTAGGAGTTACAGGGTTTACTTAATATACTCCCCTGTGGAACAATGAGCGTTTATCAGAGGTCACTAAGATAACCGGATATTGAGCCTGGAAAAATATGTATGCTTTCCCAAGTGTATGATTTTTTATCTCATTTGATTCCTTAAAATCTGAGTTTTCGATGTCTAATTGTTCTTTTTATATGTATTTGCAATTAGGACATGCCTTACAGTCACACCCTGGATTAGGGTCTGTTACGATACAGTCGATGAAGGTCTTGGATTCTAATCTAAGGGCCAAGGTTACAAAAGGGGCGACTTCTGGTATTTATTCTCTTTCGCTGCCTCGCTTTCTGTCCAAATACCCACTTATGTGTAGGCTAGGATGGGAATTAGACCTTGGACAACTGACAGATGGGGATTGGGAGGGGGCATTGGCTGCGGTTGCTGGGGTTTCTATGTCAACTTCCCATCGGTTGATCCAACTCTTTATACTCCATAGGTCTATCTTACTCTGGAGGTCTTGTTTAAGATTGGCCTCAGAACAGACGAAAGTTGTCCTAAATGTGGCCTGGCACCGGGCACTCTGTTTCATTTCCTGTGGCGGTGTCCTAAATTAGTGTGATATTGAAAGGGGGTAGTGGACACTATTAATATGGTGTTTGCTGTACATATCTCTGCTAACCCTCTAATGTGTATTCTTGGGATTACGAAGTCTTTAGACCTGAACTCTTCTACTGCTGCCACGATGACCAGGGCGCTGTTCACAGCCAGGTGTATGTTAGTGATCAGGTGGATCTTTCCCTCTCCACCTGCAGTAGAAGACTGGTTTAAAGCGCTAGATGGCCTCAATTAGTTTGAGAAATTGCAGCATCAACATTGTGGTAATGAAGCTAAATTTAGTTTGATCTGGGATAGGTGGTTGGATCATAGACCTTCAGTGGACGTATCGGTGCTGGCTATAGTCCACTAAAACAAAAACTATTTTGGTTTGATTAATTTTGTATTTAGAGTGTACAATTAATTCTGGGACTTTATCACTCTTTAAAATGGATATTAGGATATGTAATGTGTGTATGTTTTGTAGTTGTATGGGTTTTTCGGGGTTTTTTTACTTTAGGGTTTGGGGTTGGTCTTTTTTCTTGTTTGTTATAAAAAAAAGTCTAAATAAAAAGTATCTGATAAAAAAAAAAGAGATGAGCATGAAGTAAGAGCAGTGTACCGGTACAGAGGCTGTGATCTGTAGGTTTGCAGGGCCGTACTTACACAGGTCCCCCCAGAAAGCCAAAACTGCTGGACACAAGTCTCATCCCTGGCCTCCTGAATACAGGTATTCTATTATAAATTGCTGACCAAAATAGCTAAGATTTCTCCCTCTATCCCTTATGCATCCTGCAGAGTTGCACCCAATGTGGCACATTCCTCCAAGTATGGTGGGAATGTCCTAAAATTAAACCCTTTAGAGCCACTATCCAAAAACTAATTGGAGATATTACCATTAAAATGTTACACTGAAATGTCTGCATTAACCCTTCTTGTCTGATTTTATTGAAAAAAATAAGCACTCAGATTAATGACATCATTTTAGTATTATTCATCAACATTATTATAAAACTTTAACACTATTGAATTAGTGATATCATGGCATTGAGGTTGCTAGGAGTTCCTTAGGCAGTGGCAAATTAAACTCCCATCTCATGGTGCCTGCATAGCTCCAGGGCCAAATTTACTTGGAAAGAAAATGGCATGAAGACAATGATCCTTTTTAGCTGTATGTAAAGGCCACTACTGTTTGGGAAGTGTTCTTGCCGCTGATCTCCAATGCAAGGGAACCCTTCCCTGAACATCAATATATTATCTCCACTAACCAGCAAAGTAAGAGAGTCTGTCAGTGATTCTTTTCTTCCCATTACTATAATTATTTTTCATTTTAAAATTGTTGTTATAACTGAAAAATATTTTAGAATAAAGAGCAGGAGGTACTGAAAAATGAGCCACCTTGGGTGTCAAATAAGTTAGGTGTCTTTTATTTATTTATTATATCAATAAATTACCAATCTTGTGAATATATCATAGGCTGTAGCTATAATTTTTGCAGGGGTTCCCAGAGACCTGACAACTATTTAAAGAATACGTCTGGGGTAAAAAGTTTGAGTAAGGCTCTCTTAGAATAAATAAATAAATAGAGCTTTACCCTACTCCACCCTTGTAGTAAAGACTGTTCCCTCCCAATTAAGCTTGCACAGTGGATTCGTTTTTTCAGCATCACTGTACTTACTCTGCAGACTTTCAGGTTCACTGATCTTGTGACGTTGCCTATGTAAGCGCCGTTAATATTTTGTTATACACCAAGCCTTTCTCTGTATCTCCACCCTTCTTGTCAGTGTGGCCATTAGCTACATAAATATTTGTCTTTAGAGTGTCTTCAACACACAGATTTATAAAGTTTCCAGGTAGCAGGACCTTCTATCTTTTATTGGTTGGGAATACATTTAGGCAAGAACTAGGGGGAATAAACTGCTGGTTATCTCAAAAGCGAAACATTCCTGGAAGCACAGATACAATGACGTCCACATCTTCAGAGCTGGTGAGTAAACCCATATTTCCATCAATATATAGAATACAAAACAACAATTTACAAACATAGATATCATAGGGGTGCGGAAACATTATTGATATGCTTAACATTAACAACTGAAATTGCAATCCTCTGTATGTTATGCATAATATATTACTTTGTCATTGTCAGTTGTTAAACTCCTTGCTCCTTTTCCTGCTTGCCTCAACAGACTCACTGTTAACACCAGCTAGAATGTGCTTGTGTTAAAGACATTTGTGATAAATTCTACAAATAAAACGTTTTCTGAATTTAAAAAAAAGTGATTGTTAAAATGAGCAACACGTGGTAATGAGATGACTGCATGTGTTTATGCTCTTCTGTAAATATCTCTATAATGTGAGCATAAAAACTCTGTGAAAGGCTACCCTAACTGAAGTGCATTATATTCTGTATTTCTGGTACAATTCTGGCACATTTCTAATTTACAGAAGCTGAATTTGTTGAGCTGTGTTTAAAAAAAATGTAAACAAGTCTGCAGCTTTTTCTACACCAGGTCTACCAAGTGAAGAAAAGTCATGCATGAAAAGGTCTTCAGACAGAAACATCAACAGTACCTGGCAATATTAAATTTACTAGGAAACAATGAGCTTGGGTGCACTGCTATGATTTTTTCACCCATAACTTTTATCCACATTTTTGGAGGCCTGGAAAACCTAATTGGCGCAGCCTCCAAAACCCTGATAGTAATGAAACTTTCCTGTCCCTTCCTGTCTTCTGCATATTCCATAGCCTGTGAGGTCACTCAGCATAGGGATTTGTAATTAGGAATATGTATGGGTTGGGAGGTAGCAGAAAGCTTCCATGTTACCAATAAGTGTTGGTGCATTGTATGTTGGACCAACCCAAGGTTTTGTCATAACTGAAGGTATGTGCAGCAGACATTTTTTATTTTTAAAAGAGACTATTTAAACTACTTTTCTAAATGTTATTTACTAATTAGAATTTTGAATAAACTAAACTCCAGGCTTCAAACAATTTCTTATCCAATGATCATTATTTAGCTAATAAGTACAGATGAAGAAATCACAGCACCTCTATGCACATTGAGGAGAATGTTTTAAAACTGGAGCAGAGATAATCTGGAGCAGTTGCATATGGCAACCAATCAGCTTCTCTCAAAAGCTTTCAAAGCTTAACTTAATAAACTGAAGAGAAAAACTAATTGGTAGCTAGATTCTGTCTGCTCCAGTTTTTTATACATTTCTCCCATTGTTTTCTAGTGGTTTTTATTCTGGCGATGTATCAATATAAAGACCTTTTTATGAATGGCTTATCATTACTTGGACTTGGTAAAAGGGCACTGTCACGTACCATGGTGCGGGCCCGAAGTGACGAGGAGGATCTCCCTTGCAACTCCGTCTGCGGACCTCTAGAGGTGCAACAGGTGGTGCACAGGCTGGAGCTGCACAGTAGACATGTGCACCAGCAACATTTTGCATTAATTAGTTTTTTGGATTCGGGTCCGAAATTAAATTCGTTTCGGAATTCGGATTCGGCCGAAATTCGTTAGCGGTAGCCCGGTCGAAATGTAGTTTATGGACGAAATTTCGTTGCAGCAAAATGACATTAGGAAGAAAAAAAATCAAATTTTTTTTTTTTAGTTTGCAGAAGATGAAAAAAAAGCATGAGGTTCCCCCCCTAATTGATACCAGACCCTTTAGGTCTGGTAGGAATGTTAGGAGGGACCCCCCAAGTTAAAACACAAAAGAAAGTGCGTGAGGTTCCCCCCAAAATCCCTACCAGCCCCCACTCCCTGCGCCTTACCAGGCCACGTGCCCTCGGCATTGGGAGGGTGTCCCCATGCCGATGGGTACAAGGGCCTCTTCCCCACAACTCTGACCCGGTGGTTGTGGGGGTCTGCGGGCAAGGGGGCTTATTTGCATCGGGATACCCCTTTTAATAAGGGGGCACCCAGATGCTGCCCCCCCTTGTGAAGGAGTAATGGGTACCTGTACCCCTACCTATTCACTAAAGGGTTAAATCATATAGTTAGTAAAAAGCCCAGACTTTTGATAAAATCCTTTAATTGAAAAAAAAAACAGTCAATTTTTGACTATTCCTTTAATGAAAAAAAAATGGCTCCATCGATGTAATCCAGCCGACACGCCGCAATAAAAAAAAAGTCCCGCCGCACGACACCCATCCGAACACGACAAAAACTCGCCGTAAAATGACATTCAGCCCGAAAGTAAACAGATCGCTCCGCCCATTTGACATTCTCAGCTGTCAAATGCTACATAGCATTCGGGAACTCGCGAATACTATTCATGAGCTTCCGAATGCTATTCGGGTCTGTGAGCCGAGGTGTTATGTAAAAAGCATTATCACACCTCGGCTCACAGACCCGAATAGCATTCGGAAACTCATGAATAGTATTCGGAACTATTCGGAACGAAACAAATCGCACGTGTCTACTGCACAGCTGCCTGGTGTGGAATCTCGGATATCCAGCTGGGAATGGTGCTCCACAGGGACAGCAGATAGGCAGGTGGATGATCCAAAGAGTAGTCGGGAACAAGCCGGGTCAGGAACCAGAGAGCGAGCGGTACAGAAGCAGGATCCAGAAGAGTAGTCAGGGACAGGCCGGGTCAGGAACCAGAGAGCAATACAGTGCAGAAGCAGGATCCAGGAAGGGTAGTCAGGAACAGGCCGGGTCGATAGCACAGGCAGTCTCCGGATGCAGATCAGAGCAGGTACTGGATACAGGCTGAAGATCACTCAGCAATGAGGAAGGCTGCTGAATCTGTTTATATAGCCCGGGCGATGTCACCGGGCGGAGCTGATGTGACGTCCTGCCAGGCCAGCGCGTCACACGGGGGCGTGTCCCGCGCATGGGTGGGAGCCTGATTTGGGGCCGGAATACGGGCTGAGACCCGACAGGCACAGAAAAGAACATGCTAGTGTTGCATCAGAGTCTACATGAAATAACTATAAAACTCCTTGGTAGCCTAACCCAACGTAATATATCCAGGGCTGGATTTACTCTCTCTGCTTCCCCAAGGCCAGGTTCCTCAATGCGCCCCCCTGTATGCAGGCTGCATACAAGTGATCTCGGTGACAACGCTGAGATCAATTGTACAAAACAAGCGGCAGGTTCCCCGCTGTACAATTATCCCTGCTTGCCCAAAGCAGGGCTAAATGTAGAAAACAACTACTCGCCCGTCGCCCGGAACTGTATGACCCGGGTGTCGGAGATAGGAATTCCAAACCCCTGCTGCCCCTCTACTCCCTGCTGCCCTGAGGCCGGGCCTCGGTTGGCCTTGTGGGAAATCCGGCCCTGAATATATCAAACACTAAAATATTTGTTTGAGGTGAATTAATCATTAAATTTAATATTAGTCTACAAACATTTAGATGGTGCTAATGTACCAGTTTACTGTCATCATTTGACATTTTAGTCTTTTTACTATGGCAGGTACACTACAGGGGCCTGTTTCTGATGGTCTTTGTGCTAGGGATTGGAGGCACCTTTCAGTATGGCTACCACTTGTCTGTGCTAAATTCTCCATCACCCGTAAGTATGACACCAAAAAACACAGATTAGAACCCATTTTAGATCGATTTTAAAGTAAATATTTTAGGTAAATACTAATAAAATGTGTTGCCCATATATGAATTTAAATGTGAATTTTGAGACCAGATACATTATTTTTATCCAGTCACACTAAGAACAATATCTGCTTCTACTAACATAATATATTTTCAATGTTTCCAGTTCATCAAACAATTTATCAATGACACATGGGCGAGAAGATACAAGACTCAGATTAGTGACGGGACACTTACTTTGATATGGTCTTTTGTGGTATCTATATTCAGTATTGGGGGTCTCATAGGGTCCACTGCATCTGGATACCTAACTGGAAGGTTTGGAAAGTAAGTATTTTGCATTTGCACACAAGTCTATATGAATGCAAAACCCACTTAAAGCTGGTCAAATGCAGATCAGAAGGATGTCAACTGCAGGTAAAATGTGCCTGCCAATAAAGTCTAAATAATATCAGAAGCATCTCAAACTGATGTCAAAATTATGCCATCAGCACAAATCTAAAGCACGTCAACAGAGGCCCTAAACTATATTTTAAAAAAACATATTCTTTCAACCGCCTAATGATTTGCAAACTACCATTTAATTTTTTTTAAAGGACGGTTAAAACCTCAATCTGGCTTATATTAGTGTTACTGTAATAATTGGAGGAGATTGGGGTGGCCACCAAGACAGGAAGTAAACAAAATATCTTCAATGGGGCTTAGACAGAATAAAAAGTTTTTAAATCATAGTGGTAAGGGGTGAGAACCTCTATTAAAATTGTATTGCTGTTTCTGTAACCAGAATAGAAAATCTCCCCAGCAGGTACATGGATAATAAAAACCTGATAGCTTCTAACCCTTATCTACTCTAATGAAAACCATTACGTTAAAAAACGTTTGATGTTAAAGATTAAACTTTGTGTAATGCAGAGCAACATTTGGTATCCCATGTTTAAAATGTGTGTTTGAGCCATTGATCTAAATCTCAGTGCATCCAGGTTTGTTTTATAATGCCCATGTGTTTTATAGGAAGAAGTGTCTACTGGTCAACTCAATTTTGCCAATTTTCAGCGCTCTGCTCGTAGGCCTTAACCAAGTAACTGGTTACTTTGAAATGGTTTTGGCTGGTCGTTTTGTTAGTGGTCTTAATGCAGGTCTGTATAAAACACTTTACATTTAGGTGTAGTAAAGAGTAAAGTAATAATGAACAAACAACCTTTTTCATCAGAGTTCTTAAGTGCTAATTCTTATGTACACAGAACATTTGAATTCACTCTGCTGAAGTCAGATCAGTGAAATGTGATTTTTAATTGGTTTCTATAGGTCACTTTAACATAGCCTCTGAACACAGAAAAGTGTTTAAAGACTAAAGCTAGCCATACATGGCTCATTTTCTCTTGTTCAGCCCACCAGCTAGACAAGAGAAAATCAATCGATTCCCCCACCCACAGGTTTAGGAATCTCCTCTGCCTGCTTTTGTATTCAGCAACCTGAATACAGTGGCACTGCCAAACAGTGACTGCATTATTTAGGATCCAATCACTGTTGTGTCAATAATTTTCCACCCTACTTGGTCGAATTTTAAATTGACTTTTGTCAAGACTGGTGGTGTTTGCATGGCCACCCATATCTTGAATTTTGGCCGAATCAGCAGAAATTGGTTGAAATTTTATCCGTATTTGGCCAGTCTTAGTCCAGACAGTTAGGCAACATAATATAAATTGCCGCCCAGTTTTCTTGGGGATTTTCTAACAAGGTCGTGAGACATACAACTACTAAGACATGGCTGCTGGTCCTGTATTGGTGACAAGACCAGTCAGAGACCACTAAGAGGAATGGTTTCAGAGTACTGATCATCACAACTAGATAGGAGGAATACTGCAAGACTGTGGGGAAAGGTAAGTATATCTCTAGATCATCCCCTAGGAAAACAAATAGGGATGCACCAATACCGATACTAGTATGGGTATCAGTGCCGATACTGAGTATTTGGGCGCCTACTCGTACTCACCCAAATGCTCCGATACTTACCCCAATACCGGAACTTCTGGTCAGAGGGAGATTTCCTCTGGAAACATGGAGCCGACTTCCCAGCCAATCAGCATTGAGCCAGCCAAACAGCATAGAGTCAGCTTCCCGGCCAATCAGGAAGCCGGGCGATGGGTAATGACCCGCCTCCCGGCTTCCTGATTGGCAGGGGAGCCGGCTCCATCCTGATTGGCTGGGGGGGTGGCT